GAAAGGTTTTTTGTATCCGTGGGTCTCTTTTCATCGCACTTCGCTTCCTGCTTTTGCGAAAATTTCGGTGTGCAGAAGAGGACATTGACCTCTTCGAGCTCGTGTGAATTGGTGAAATCGACTCCTTGAATAGCGCGAGTCTTGCCTGAGAAAAAAGTGTCTTGCTTCCGGAGACCTGTCCACTCCAGGCCTGCTGAAAGGCAGGTTGGGCTCGACAGTTCGCTTCCCGGGCAATTTGTGTGGGATTGTGATTCCCGCATGTGCACGGACGCAATCATTGCCCAGCGGTGGTTTGATTGCGCATCCATGGTAAACAAAACACAAGGGGAAACCAACCAGCTCCATATACGTGGACGGGGTTCGACTCTCTGCTAACAAGCACACAAACACTTTGTGTGCAAAAGTGACAACACACACGCAAGTTGCCAAGACATGTCCGAGGCACACTTGATTTTAAAAGAAATCATGTCAATCACGTGAGCGGTAACCCGAGCTCCTTTCCAATTATTTGCAACTTCGTCATTTAATTTAGAGGCGCAGCCACACTCTCTGAGCACCACGCGTTGCAAACTCCACGCCTCCAATCAAGAGACACTGACTGGTGTTGGTCCTTGAAGCCATGCGATGACTTGTGGTTACGGCGAGCAAGCCCGGGGCCAAGCTCATGTCCAGATTGTGAGTGGTAGCATGCCAGGCTGTCTGGGCTCTACCCGGGCTGCCGGGTGAAGCTGCAAGATCTGCAGCAGCAGCGGCACATCAACGGCTGCTGCGGCACCGTGCTGGCGCGACCGAGAGCCAACGGAGGGACCCTGAGAGTCTCCTCTTGCCCGAAACAACCGCAGAATTCCGGCATCTTTTTCTTTCGGGTATTCCCGAGCATGGTGTTTTGTCCCTTTTGGTTTCCGGTTAAAGCCACCAAAAAGGGGTTCCCCAAAACAAAGACACGCTGAGTTCTCCGCTTGGACTTTGACTCTTCGTCAGATTTCCCTTGGTGACCTTTGCGCGAGACGGCCTCAAGCGAAATGCCAGGGCTGGGACCGCATGGAGCAGCGCTGGCAGGCAGGGGGTTTCCATTGCCAGCTCTCGGCGCCATTCAAGTGGACAATGCAAGCTTGCTGGTTCTTGGTCTATCAGGTGTGTTGATGTCTTAGGCTGCCACGGGCCCTTGGGTGTTTTTGGGGCCCCTTGGTGCCTGGCACATGGGCGACGAGTAGTCTCAGGTCTTGGCGAGTAGCGGGATCACTTCCAGACATTTGCCAATCATTCCATGGTCCACAACCTCGCTCAAGAGCTATCCGGTGGAAAACACGCTCTGTGTGTGCGCGGGTGGGGGGGATTTTCCTCAGATAGGACCCATGCTGAAGAGAAGCACTGCGCTACACTCTGGCTACATCCCTCGAAAGAAGCCTCCGCCTTCCGTGTTTCCCGAATTGTTGTGAGTTTTTGGCTGAGGGGGTAGGATTTGGTGATCCCGGCGGTTACAGGAACATGTTCCAGGGGGGGCTTTTGACTAGGTGGTTCACCAACAAGTGGATGGGAACGAGCAATGTCCTTGAAGTTCAGACTTTAGCTGAAGGTTTGCGCTTGCTTGAAGGTTTTTACTCATGGCGGTTGAAGAAACAATCCCACGTCTGGCTGGAGACTTTTCTAAAAGGAACTGGAAAAGACTTCAGAAGTCGAGATGGAAGACTCCCAGGCTTCCTGCCAGGTGCGGCTGGACGAGGGCGAGGGCCGCCTGCTGCGGCCGGAGAACCTGGAGCCGCTGCCTTCGGTGGCGCCCGGCGCCCGCGCCAGGCTGCGAGGCACGTGGCGCTTGGCGCTGGGGGGCGCTGGGGGGCGTTCAGTTCGGGCAATGGTCTCGGGTAGAGTCAAGTGTCGAGAGAGTTTGCCCCGCACTCATCATTGCTGGGGGTGGCTTTGTTTGTACCAAGATTCAGAGATGCTTTTTCTGTCAATACCACAATTGATGGTTTATTCACTTGTCATATGCAGGAACACAACTGCATTTGGGGGTATGACGCTACATTGATTCCCACAACACCATATCAAGTAGACAGGTTGGTTTTTATGCTGGGCACCAGCTCATGCCAGGCAAAAGGGGCCTCTTGACGCTTGATGCACGGGCTTTTCTCAGGCAGTCAGCTTCTGTACTGCAAGAAGATTCAACTTGCAAAAGCTAGCCCAAGCGCCAGGCCTGCGGTCGGCACAGGAGTTGAATGGTCTGCTGGGCGTGGTTCGGCGCTGGGATGCCACGGAGGAGCGCTGGCAGGCGCGAATCGACAGGGCAGTGAGGAAGGCCATCGTCACGTTGTTTTTAGTCTATGAGGGCACCAGCCTTCCTGATTTGACGGACTCTGCAAGTGTTTGCAAATGCTCTTCGACGGGTGGTATGCTTCGACGGGTGGTGATGGTCGTGGTGGTGGTGGTGGTGGTGGTGGTGGTGGTGGTGGTGCTGCGGCGGTGGTGGTGGTGGTGGTGGTGAGCTGCGTTTGTCGGTTTTGATCTACGATCCTCCAAGGGTAACAAACCCTTCAAAGACGGTCTTGTTTGGCCTTGCCAGGTGTTGATGGACGGCGGCCTCTCCAAAATGATCAGGCGGGTTTGATTCTGCCGCACTGGACTGTATTTCCTCAGCCAGTGTCGCTTTGGTGGCTCAACGAGATTTGGGAGTAAAGCTAGAGCTGCGATTCTGTCCTCATGTTCTCATTGCACGCACTGCGAACACATGCCGAGTGCGAAAAGACAACCTCACAGCATGTGTAAGAATAGCTAACGTCCTTCGCGGAAAGACCTCCACTTCTTTACAATTCTGGCAGCATCTCTCCGCAGGCCGGTCAATCTGGAACTTCTGGATGGGACAGAGAGGCACAGATTTTGCTGCAGGGGAAGGGCCAGATTCAGGGACATGACAGGCAGTGTTGTTTGCTTCATGTGCGACTAATGCTGGCAGCACAGCACAGCTTGTTGAATGGGGACGTGCTTGCTTGTGGCACAGCTGGTTTTAATTCTTTCCAGATGGCCAACAACATCCGTTCATGGGTACGATTCCTTGATATGGTTGCCTGGCAGAATTTGGATTATATGTCTGAAATGGCCACACACACACACATATGCAGCCCAGGGTTCCAGCGCGCAGGATAGATGAATGCAGTCAGACGCCGGCTGAGTCATCAGAGAAGCTGCTGGAAAAGCCGCCGGAGAGGCCGCTGGACAAGTTGCCGGAGAGGCCGCTGGAAAAGCCGCCAGAGAGGCCGCTGGAAAAGCCGCCCCAGAGGCCGCTGGAGAGGCCGTTGGAGACGCCGCGAGAAAGGCGGGCTGGGTTGCAGCAGAGTTCACACATGGCATGGACAGTCAGGCAAGATGCAGTTCTAACAAAAGGAAGTAGCACGCACAGGCTTCGGCAACCACTGTCCACGAGTGTGTGAAGGAATTTTTAAGAGAACAATTTCACGTGTGCCACTTTGCTTCACTGTCACTACGTACTGCTGGCAATGGGGCTCTCCGATTTGGATTGGGTTACCCCCTTGAGTGACCCAGCGGACAATTTGTTCGGTCGGCCCCAGGAAGGAGGTGAGCGAGAAGGCGGCTGAGAGGCCGACTGAGAGGCCGACCGGAGTCAATGACCATGGAGCAGGCTTTCCAGATATGACAGATATTCAGGCAAATGAAGGCTTGGGGCATGCGTTGATTCATGCCAGAATGCGCGGTCCTGCGCGCAATAGGTTCAGGAGCATCTTCTGTATGGTGTCTCTTTGTCTCTCCTTCCCTCCTTCTCTTTTTCCTCGTTCCCTCCTTCTTGATTCCGTCTTTCCCTCTTTCCCTCTTTCCCTCTTCTCCTCTTTCCATTCTTCCCTTCTTTTCTCTTTCCCTTCTCCCTTCTTTCCTCTTTCCCTCTTTCCCTCTGGGCACTTGCGGGGTGAAGGTTCTCATCAACGTCCCTCGTACGGCTTCCTTACGCACGTTGGGTCCGGCGCGTCTGTCATGCACAAGCCTGAGCTATCGCTTCTTCCACAACCGTCATGGCAAGGCTCTAGTGACTTTTATAGCTTGGCTGCCGGGCCTACCTTGCGCTGCGCAGGCCAACGTTCGCGCTGCTTCCGGGCTGCAGAGTGCAGGCGGGACCAGACGTGGACCATCGAGAGAGGGGTTTCCTGAAATTCAATAGTCAGAGGTTGCTTGCACTTGCATGATGGCCTTTGGAGAAGAGTGTCACGCATGCATCAATCTGGAGAACCCACCCACACCCACACCCACACCCACACCCACACCCACACCCACACCCACACCCACACCCACACCCACACCCACACCCACACCCACACCCACCCACACCCACACCCACACCCACACCCACACCCACACCCACACCCACACTCACACCCACACCCACACCCACACCCACACCCACATGCACACATTATAAACACATAGTGAACATATAATATATATATATATATTTACACATGCATGATTGTTTTCGATGGTTCTTGCAGAGTGCAAGACTTCGATCACGGAGCTGCTCTTTTCACATCTTCGCGCCCGGAGGTTTCGGAGCTGCGCCGTGCGGAGTTGAACGGCGCGGAGGGCGCGCTGCTGGAGCCACTGGAAGCAAGTGGGGCGTACCGCGTGGGAAAGGCAGCTGAAAGGAGCAGCTTTGCGGGTTGAGATGGTTGAGACGGAAGAACTCATGTGGCTTCTTGGGCAGGTCGAATTGAAACTCGGGTTTGAGGGCACCCATGTGCATGGAAAGGAAGCGTCTTCTTGTAGGTGGGTACCTTTGGATTTGGGTGGCAACCGGCGCTTCCTGCACGTGCGGAGCCCGCGTTTAGTGGATTCTAAAAGAAGCTGGGCGGCAACTGCTCATTGGACACAATTGGAAGCCCTGGAATTTGGCGGTGTGAGAGGCCACAATTGGCAGCATCAACTATGGTAAATTCTGAAGGTGTCCTTCGTGCTTTTGCAGGGGATTCACTTGCTTCTGTGCGAAGCCCAATGGTACATGCCTTGCAGTTTGCAACTGCCGAGCTCTGATCTTGAGTTTTGACCCGCAAAGACAACGCCCACAATTATTTGGATGCTGACTGTGCAACTCGCGACGGTGCCCAGATGAAAACTGGCTGCCGCATTGGAATTGTAGTATGTGGTGGATAGCTCCTGTGAACATTTTAGTCTTGAGCCCCGCTTCATTTGAGGCGTTGATGGAAGGGGCGAAGCTCACCCTGACATAGCCTTGGGCATGGTCCCATGACCCTACAACCCCGACACGCGGAACGTTTCATGCACGGCCGGATGGGGCTGTGGGCCTATCCGAGGTGGGTGGAGCAGATAGAGCGCTGGAAGGCCAGTTGCGTTGTCTTTGCCAGTTCGAGTGGGGAAGGAAGGAGCTAAAGTCATTTGGCTGACCATGTTCCATGCTTCCAGAGAAAAGCAAAGCGAAGAAAACAAACACTGGCTCAAGCTCAATCTCAGCAGATATCTTTCCAATCTGTCTTCGTGCCCTGTTCCTGAATGACCATGGCGGCAGCGGAACAGGTGCATTCTCAGTCAGGCAGAGAAGGGCATGAAGCTTTTTGGTCCGGCTGCAACTGCGGGGTCCGACCGACTGCGGAGAAGTAAAAGGCAGAGATTGAGACACGGGCAGAAATGCCCTGGAAGCCGAAGCTGCCTTGCTCACTGGCAAGGACAACAAGAAGGAGCGAGCATCGAAAGGCAAGGAGGCTGCTGAGCTGAAAGCTGAGCGCTATGGGGACGCCTGCAAGATTGCAAAGGCTCTGGAGCCCATGTGACCAAGGCGGCTGAGGTACCTGTGGCCCCCCAGCTGAGGAGCTCAAAGCCGAGGTGAAGAATGAGAAGACGGAAACGAAGGAGACGAAGGAGTCGGCAGGCCTCAGCCCGGAGACCAAGCTGGAAGATCTCAAGCGGATTGCAGGGCCTGCGGATGGTGAATCGAATGAACAAGCTCAAGGAGAAGCAGGACCCCGGCAGCACCAAGAAGGAGAATGCCAAGAAGGACTCCAAGAAGACGCCGCTGAGCGCTGATGAGCAGAAGCAGCAAGCTCCAGAATGAGGTCGAGATCTGGCCAGGCTGCGAACTGAGGTCGGGTACAGCAACAAGGAGATGAAGGCAGATCCAGACCTCAAGAACGTGGAAGCGGCCTGAGAGAAGCGCTGAGCTGAGCGAGGGCTGGCCGGGATTGCCGCCTCAATCATACACTGGCTTATCTTCCTGGCAAACTGCGCTCGGGCAGACTCAACTGGCAGTTGGCCCATGCAATAGTTGATCGAAGGATATATCGCCCACAAGGTCCAAGTTTCTATTCCATTTGAAGTGTGCAGGACAGTTGCCACTTTCTGTGGGGACTTGTACTTGGAACGTGACATGCCTCACGTAAGTGAGAGGAGAAAGGACTGCGCACTTTGCACCTTATTGGTTCTGCCTTGGTTCCTTTTGCCCTCTTCGCTTGGCTTCTTTGTCTTTCCTGCAAGCCGAAAGCGCCTGCTGCCGGTTCAATTGTGAACTTGCTCTCTTTTGGGGTGTCCAATGGCTGCTCATTTTGGCAACTTGAGCCATGAATATGCAGTATGTGGTCCACTTGAGACTTTCTCACAGATCGCAGGGAAGGACCCTTATCAAACTTTACTAGTTCTTTTTACATTTGCTCACCGACGAAGCTGTTGGGAAGTTGCCAGTCGCATGTTTGGAGGTAGTGCTGGATGATGGGTCTTCATTGTTGCCTCCGCCTCGGTTTGCCAAACGCGAGGGTGCTGCGAGGCCATGACTGTGATCCACAACATTTTTTGGGAGAGAACCTCTGAAAAATGTCCTGCGGTGCCAGAGCCAAAGCAAGTCTCCAAAAGAACTTCCAATGCTGAAGCGTGCTAGTCAGGAATGCCCTTTCAAGAATTGATTTCCAAGTTTCCTGGCCTTCTGTTTCTCTTGTGCCAAAGCCATAGGCCCTGTCTGAGCATCCAGGAAGGCTACAGCCATGTTCCGAACCGTGCCTCGTCTGAGGCTTCGCTCCTGCAACCTGCGAGCCTTGAACCATGGCTGGAACTCGGCCACGGCGCAGACCTGCGAGTGACCGGGCTCGGCCGGCGCGCTAGCGCGCGCTTGTGACAGCTCAGGTTTTTGGGGCTCATTCTAAAGATCCATTTCGCAGGTTTGGAGAACATCGACGTTCTATTTCCGAGCCCTGCTTTGAAACAGCTCAAGATGTGGGTTCACTGTCACTGGACGCCTGCACGCACGCGTTCGGGGGCTTCCGGGATTAGCATTTTAAGGCAGTTTTGCGGCGGAAAGACTGGAGAGGAGACTTGAATTTGCACATTCCAATTGCAGCCAAGGCGCTGCAGCTTAAGCCGGGTTCGGTTGGCTCGACTTCTGGTGCCTTGCACCTGGTGACGCTCACAGCCTCGCCGACCTCTGACCTTTGCGGCGCGCAAGCGAAGGTGCGGCTAGAAAATGCCGCAGGCACCAAAGCGCTTAGGTGAGCACTCCGTGAGCCGAGTTGAAGTTTATACCGCGCAGGAAGTTGGGTTGGTCACTCACAGACCTCTGATAGAAATCCTGCAGCGTGTTTCAATGTGGTCGGCTTTGCCGACGCTAATTGGTGCCAGGCTCAGATTTGACATGTTGGGCAAGCAATGCTTGGCTTTTGGTGTTGCTTGTATGCTAGGTTTTGCTGTTGCACAACGCTCGTTGTCAATACCGGCACATTCGGTCTCAGATCAAATGCACTCTGATGTGTAGAGGGAGTACGCTGCTATGCGCAGTATGCAACTGCCAAGATGGGTGGCGCCCCTTTGAATTCCCTTGCACTTTGAACAAAAAGATACCCTGAAGGGCACGCCCCGCACTGTTCCCCTGCCGCCCTTTTGGCTGCTGCGCAGCTTATCGGAGGGCTGAGGCCAGGACACGGAAGAGCTGTGCACGGTGTGTCCCTGGTAAAGGGACTCAGGGAAAGCCATCCTCTTTTTGGATTGCCTGTTTTGAGACACACATGCATGTGTCATTCTGCCGTCCAAGCATGCAGAGGGCCTTTTGATTGACCAACTCTTCCCATGCACCTCCTGACAGATTCCAACATTGGAGGACCAGCCACTCTCTGTGGACCAAGACTTCCACTCCTTTGCAGCTGTGACGGCTGTTGGACTGTTGGGTATCTTCTTGATAGGCCGCCGGTGCTGTGACTTCGCCAGCGATGTTCTGGAGCCCAGAGACGGGCAGGGGACCACTTAATCGGTGTAGGGCTCTTGTTCGTTTGGGATGTGGCTTGGTGTGGGCTCTGTGAACATATGTGAAAGTGTGTTGGAATTCCTTGTAGCTGGCATTGCTGCCTGACTCAACACAGCTGCCACTCAGTTTCGAGTTCACCTCATCATCAGCCTCTGGTTTTTTCCTTTTGCCTACCAAAATTCGAACACACACACACACAACTCCTTTGTTCATCATGATTCATGATCGCTGGTTGCTTCTTTTCAGAAGGCATTGCCCTCGACAGAATAGAGCCGATTTCAAAACACACGGGACAGCTTTTTGGGGACACTGGCTGCTCGTTAAATTTAGCAATATGTTCAAACACCGGCGAATGTGACACGGAGCATCTCATATTGAATTTTGGCAGGAGCATTTCGATCATTCCGATCCAGGCCCGTGTTTGCTGAGGTCGCTTTGTGCGCCCCAGCGCTTACAGGCGGGAGAATATCTTGTCAAGTGCAATATGTTGATTGATGCTTGACCTTGCAAATAAGACATTCGCAGGGTATCACTAGCAAGCCACAAGTGAGGGTGCAACATGGCCGAAGGCTTCGGGATCTCCGGGCCTCGTGCTAGGCGCCGTGCCTTAACGTCCCGACGCTCCCTGAGGCGAAACGGATCACCTGATTGGATGCGACTCACGGAGTGACGCTGCCGGGATCTGATTTGATGTTTTTTCCGTTTTCTGAGAGCTTGGCGCTTCTGCTCAGCATGCTACATATTACGTCTTTCCTCTATGAGCTCTGCCACCTGGTTTGTCCACCCATGTTTTCTCCCACCCCAAACAAATGCTTCAGCATCAAGTTCCAGCTGTGGACAACCCCCAATCCCACTCTCTCTCTCTCTCTATGCTTTCTTCTGACAAGCTGCGTGGAGAATAGACCTTCACAACGCCAATCGCATTCAGGCATAGGCAGCGGATGAACCTTGAGCTCAAAAATGGTGTTAAGATCGCACCCAGATAGTTGGTTCTCTTTTTCTTTTGAAGTCCCGTGACAGGTCCCTTTCAAGAAAAGAAGAGAGGACCGCTGATTCACTGATTGATTCGCAGGCGCTGGTGCCCGCCACCACCATGCCACCCTCCGGGTTGCAGGGGCTGCTGCTGCCGCCGTGGCCGCCCCAAAAAGTTGGGGGGTGTGCTTTCCGGTGACCTGTCCGCGGCCCGTCTGGTTGCTTGGCAGATGTGACTCTTTCGGGAGGCTTGAAACTTGGGAAACTTGTTGCTCCATGCCTTGGGCTCAATCCACAGCTGAACATTGCAACCGTCAGCTTTTGTTCGCATTGTGGCTGTTCGTATGAGCAACATCAAGTGCAAGCCGACAAGCAGGTTTCCAGATCTGACACATTTTCCAGAAACATGTGTTGGCTCTTGGCTCGCTTGATTTGATTGAAACGAAGGGGCTGGAGTGACACGCTTCAATTTTGACCAGTGGCTCCAATCAACCCACAAGGCCCCCATCTCACGTCCTGCAAGGCCTCAGCCTCCTCCGCAGACGCGATCCCCGAGGTGGGAAACTTGGCACAGGAGGTGCTTCTTGGAAGGTGAAGGAGAAAAGAAAAGGGGTACTACATGAGTCACATGAACATACCGCATACCTAGGATTGTGCCACTGTCCCTTGAGTGCAGCGAGGTCGGCGCACCGGGAGCCACGGCTCCCGAAGTGGCCGCTCAACGCGCCCTGGCAGGCAGGGCACTTGAGAGACGGTCGAAAGGCCTAGGTCTGTGTGCATTCATCCATGCTT